AGGCATTTTGAGGCCGGCTTAGGGGGTCTTGATGTTGAAAGCGGTTTGGCTTCCCCTTGTGATACATGCGTCACTGTTGGCATTTGAATAGTAAGTCGGTGCCACGGCTGCACTATGTTAGTCCCCGAAGGTGCTGGTCGTCTACTCCTACAATAAGTCATAGGGAGCTCAACCTGCGGGGGCAGCTCTACTAATTGCAAGTTGCCAATTCACATGGGAACTGTGAAAGGCTTGACCCGCAAGGGCGACTGCAGTCCGTTGGCCATTGACTCCCGCAGGAGCCGTGAAGGGCTCGACCTGTAGGGGAGACCTTGCAAACAGGGCTGATGAGGCTCGTCCAGGCTTGCTCGTTCANGCCGTGAAGGGCTCGACCTGTAGGGGAGACCTTGCAAACAGGGCTGATGAGGCTCGTCCAGGCTTGCTCGTTCAGGTCGCCAAAGTGAGTCTTCGTCAGGTCGCCAAAATTTGAACAATCCAGTTTCCTCTCAGCACGTCGTTCTACAAACACCTCGTCACCTCAGCCGGGCTGACCTGGGAGGGCGGCTTCACTACCTACTGGCCGTTAACTCCCATGTAGAGAATGGAGGGCTCGACTTGTGGGGTGGCCTCACAGTTTGTTGGCTATCAACTTCCATGGGAACCATGGGGGGCTCGACCTACAGGGGTGGCCTCACATTCTGTTGGCCATCAACTCTCGTAGAGAGCATGTAGGGCTCGACATATGGGGGTGGCCTCGCAGTTAGGGAGATTTTGTTCAGGAAAAACTGTGAGAACTTGTTTGGGCTAATCATTTTGATTCTGCCCCTAGGGATTCCTTCAATCAAGGCGTTGTTGTTTTTTGCTTGAGGATGCCATTATTTGAGGCTAAGAGAACGGGTGAGGACTTAGCTTTTGTGTTGGTTTCCCACAGACGACGTCAATTGATGGTGCTCGAATTTGGCAGATCCCCTACTGGTTGATGACTCAGAAGTTGATTTGTAAGGTTTCCTTGTCTGGGCTGAACTAGATGTGGCCGTGCCATATAACGGAGAGCTGTGTAATTTTCTAAGAAACCTGCAAGAAAACAATATCAGCCGAGCTGTGCTAGACGGAGCTGGAGATGGCCAAGTTGTATTGTTTTGCAAGAGAGACAGAGTTAGAGTGCCCGAGTGTCTTTACCCGGGGAGGGCACTCTATTGCTTAAGTCACTAAGTGTTTTGAAAGTATTTTAGAAAGTGAGAGAGCTTGAGAGCTTGTAATCACGCATACCTTCTCCCAGGAAAATGGTGCCTTTATATAGGTGTGAGGGATTAGAGACCTTCTGTAATGGGTCCCATCTTCTCACGGAGCCATTTACACATAGTTAGCTAAGCTATTACATTGGTTACGTGATTTGTGCAGACATTACGGCTTGCCCAAATAACTCTAGTGCGGGTAGGTCAACCTAATGGTCGAGCGTTATTAATCTAGAGAACTTGGTCTTGATAACAGATCTGTGTAATAGGTCGACGAGCACACCTTATAGGTCATCACTTATACCCTACTTAGCTCGGCCGATCTCCAAAGGAGGTCACTCCTTAAGTGGAGGTCCTTGAGGTCGGCCATAGGCGAGGTACTACTAGCCGACCTGCTGGGGTGATCTGCTTATTCAATGTCAATGTGTTACTTGGATGCCATGTGTCTCTAGAGGTAGGTTTCCATGTCTATAGTAGGTCTCCAAAGGTAGGTCGCCAGGTCGGCGAAGGTAGGTCTCTAAGTCTCCAATAGGTCGCTGGAGGTAGGTCTCCAAGTCTCTAGTAGGTCTCTCGAGGTAGGTCGTCAAGTCCGCGAAGGATGGTCTCTAGACATAGATTGCTAGGTCTCCAATAGGTCTCTGGAGGTGGGTCGCTAGTCTGTAGTAGGTCTCTGGAGGTATGTTTCCAGGTCTCCAGTAGGCCTCTGGAGGTGGGTCTCCAGGTCTCTAGTAGGTCTCTGGAGGTAGGTCTCCATCATTTTGGCTAAGGCAAGTCATCGCCTACGTGGTGTTGGGGTGTCATCCAACTGTTTTGAGATGCCACGTGTCATGATGTCAATGGAGGGTCAAATCTTCCCTCATCACTTCTCATGAGGGTTTATAGGGAGGAACAAGTGCATTGCACTGCTAGGGTTTTCATGGAGAGATCAAGTGGAGTGTTCGATGGTTTTCTAGAACTTAGATTAAGAGCTGCTCTAGGAATCCACCTTGATCTCATGAGGGAGGGAGTAGAAATCTACTCAAGTCACATTTGTTTGGAATCTACCCCACTTTCTTTTTCTTCTTCACTTTTTCATTTGAATGTTCCAGATGCACAAAACTTACCTCTGTTTCATCAATGAACAATGTTTTATTTTCATGGGTAATTTTAATATTTTCAAAAGTCTTAAGTAGCACATGATGTCACATGATACACATACTGATGGCTGGTTAATGGTAGGTACTAGATTGCAACGTTTTGAAAGTTCAGGTATTGGATTGTCATATTTTAAAGTTTAGGAACCAAATTATCACTCAAGCCAAAGTACAGGGTACTAATCTGGAATTTTCCCTAACAACAATAACAATAATAAAATAATTCTCGGAACTGTTCACCCTAAAAAGCTTAAACTGTTGGGCGAGGTCATTAAAAAGTTTTCTTTATTCTCTAACAGGTTTCGGCCTGACTCTAATGCCATGGTAGTTTGTCTTGAAGTAAGAGTAAATTGTTAAATGATTTGCACTGATTTTGAGTTTGGAGTTGAAGTCAATTGTTCTGTTTAGGCCAGTTTTGAATTAGCTCTCATAAATTTGGGTAAGACTCTGTTTCATTCTTTAAACCACAGGGATAATCAAACTTTTTTATGAATTTCTTAGGTCAATGCATCAGGTGAATGAAGCCTGGAGGGTGCTTGTTACTGGGATATAGCTCTTGTTCATTATTGGCTCAAGATTCAGTAGGAATATCTCCACTAAAGCTTCAGCAGAGGACGCAACCTAGAGTATTCTTGTACATTGTTTTTTGATAGAATCAAGATAAAGACCCCTAACTGGAAGTTAAAAAACATGCAAATCCAATCTATAAAGGGAGCTTCTGAATGTATTTTAGACCATAAACTTATCATATACCAAAATTGGACAGAGGTCAGTTTAGGATTTCAGGATCGAACTCTCTCTTAAAATATTCTGGTGATAATTCCATTTTAACTCATGCATGAGTACATGAGATCAAATGACTATAAAAATTAAAATAAAATTGTTTCATTCCTGAACAACTGAATATCAACTTGAGTTGACTCCCGAGTTTAGAGGCTGTCAGGAGGATGTTGTCAAACTTGCTCTAGAAAGGCATCAAATGTGTGGTTTGTTGGGACTTGGGAGGTTGGTTCTAGAATGAGAAAGATGTTTGCACTTTGCACCATACCTATCATAAGAAATCAGTTCCATCCCACCATTTCCACCAATCAACCTAATGTCTGCAGGGCCTGATTTGCCATTTATCTGTCATAGGGCTTTTGGCGTATTGGTTGGATACATAAAAGTTGAACTTGAAAGCAAATATGATAGGTCAACAAACAATAGGAATTTCGTAGCTAAGAGGGGAAGCAAACTGTAGCTTCACCAAATCTGCCCAACTTTCATTAAGAATGAAAAAAAAAAGGAAGAAATAGAATAGAGGGAAAAACAGAGAAAGATAGAACACTGTATTACTGTAACATGGAAGCAATTGCATCCAAATCCACATCGTCACAAGCTCAAATAAGGAGAGACTGAATTTAGAATGTAGAACCCAAGAACATATTTCAAAATCCAAAGCTACAAGGGGTTCTATCATTCTTTACAGAAGAGTAACTCCAACGCCCTTGAGTATCAACGTAAGAACACAAACTCATCTGGATGTCCCAAGTCATTTTCCTTTGCTTCTTGCTTACGATTATACTGAATAAAAGAACTCAATTATTTCACCGTGAATCTGTGCTGTCATCTTTCATATATTAAAATAATTTTTTTTCACATGGAAATAATTGAATCTTTTCCCCTTCCATGTCTAGTTAACATGAATCTCCCACTAGAAAATGATCTCTTCATAGCAATGGGACTCGTAATACAGAGCAAGACTCTGTTTTTGCTGTTAGACTTGCTATGTTCTCCCCAACTTTGCTTTGATGATCCGACCTCCGCTGGAAGCTGATTATCCTCTTCCTGAGAGTCTTCATCTTGGCTCATGCACAACATATCTGCAATTGACAAACGGCCTTGACAAGACGAATCCATTGAAACAGATCGTCTGATCTTCTGAAAGCCTTCATCCCTGATCTCAATTATTGTGTCCCTCTGCTGGGCATCCCCCAGATCACTCATGGCCCGTAAGGGTGTCTTTGGAGCAGCTTGGCCATCCTGGGTAGTCTCTTCTCCACTATCCCACTCTGTATCTTCTACAGCAACCACTGTGACTGTGGTATTTTCCTGTCGTCTTTCTATTGAAGACACATTCTCTGGGCGAGTTTCTGGCACTGGAGGCAGTGATTGAAGCGGCAACGGATTAGGAGATACAATATTTGCACGGCACAAAGGACAATTCGAGTGAGATTTCAGCCATGTATCAATGCAAGTAACGTGGAAAGCATGACTGCACTTGGGTAATAGCCTAAGGCTCTCATCTTCTTGAAATTCACTCAGACAAACAGAGCAATCTGCTCCATCAATCAACCCATCTCCCCTCTTGTACTTGCATACTGTGATGGACTTGATCAGGGCCTCATCCAATCCCCCCGTGGAGACCTGCCACTGTTCGTGATTCAAATTGCGAGTGTCGTCGAATTCTTCATTTGGGTCATGATCATTTCCTCTTCTTCGAAGTGAATCCAGATTCCCACAATACTTGGATATGAGAGTATAATAGCTTACAAGTAGGAGAGCACTTGCCAAAATGCCAATGATGGCAATCACTAAAGGGGAGAAACTTGGGCTCGAACTTTCTTCATCTGAGAATCCAAAGGGAGGTGGAGGAGGATAGACAATAAAGCACCACTGTGGGCAATAGAAAGAACAGAAACCTAAAGAACAGTCCTTATCATTTTGATATGGTACCCAAGTCTGTGGACTGCCTACAGATCCCATGGCTAATCTGTATGGTCTGTGTGGGACTAATCCCACTAGCACATGATTCTCTTTTCTTCACCAAGAAGGCAAGCAATTTATCACTCAGAACTAAATCATAATAAAGTTGGACTTGGAGGAGATCATTAGACCAAATTCACAGGCTTGAATAAACAAATTTATACTAAAAGCTTACACAGTTGTGAAACAACAGCAAACTCAGAGTCAGAATTTTAGATGACAGAAATAATTGTACCTGTAAGCTGTACTTGGATCTGAGAGCTTGGGGACTTCCTTGAGATGACGATTAAAGCCAAATAACAGCTAAAGTTTTGATGGGCTTTGTAGAATAAGTGACTTGGGATAGGACAAGCAGAGTAAGTAAGAGGTTGGAGATGGAGTTCTTATCATGAACATTTCTTGGGGAAGCCAGAAGGGTGGAAAAAGCAAGAACCAAAGGGTCTTAGATGGAAAGCAAAGCAAAGACAAGGAGATAGGGTATTGATGTGTCTTCTTTCTCTTCTTTACTTTTCCTTTCTTTTTCTTTTCTTTTACTTTCTCGGAGATGATTGTTTGTTGACCAAGTTGATGATGTTGGTTGAGTTTTCATCACGATAATCAATGTTGTATTATGTCCAAAGATAGTTTTGCAAGTGAAAGAAGTATTTTGCACAAGAATTGACATGCCACTTCTCTTAATTGGGATTAATATTTTTTGGCGGTTTCACAAATGGCACACTAAAATTCTTTAATTCAAGAATAAACTCACAAGTGGCAAACCACAGTTGTGAGGGGTTGAGAATATTTGTGTCTACTGGATTCTTCCATTTCTAACCTACCTACCATATCTTCAAGTGAGAATCCCTTTTATTATTACACTGTAAGAGATGTGGTCAATTGGTTTGCTGAAAAAGAATAGAAAAGGGAAAACAGGATGACTCTGGTAAAGCAGAAAAGTGAACATAGTATGAGAAATAGTGTCTGTTTATCACAAAGAATTTTTTATGTTTCATCTACTTGAACACTTTGTTGTTGGACTACTGGCCTACTGCTGTGAATCCACTAATCTAGATTAGCTTGGAAATTCCCAAATTGTTTAGAACAAGGCTACCAAATGGGTTGAGGTAGGCCAACCTGAACCAGATCAAAATTTAGTGCTTTAAAGTTCAAAGAAAGGGATCAACTGAAGAAAAGATGAATGAAACCAACTGGGGTTGATTCAGTTGCTGATCCTGGGCGCCAATGGGATACTGAGCAACCCCCAAAAAATAAAGAAAAAAAAAAAACAGCTAACCATGTTTTCAAGTGCTGTCAATGAATTGATTATATGTAGCTAAGTTCTTCATCAAAGGTTAGAGGGATTATTTACACTTTTACAGAATAGAATATTGAGGATAAATTTGTTAATATAATAAATTATTATTACCTCTTTTATTTTATGATCTACTAAATGGAAAACTGTCTTGGGTCACGAGTCATTGACCCGTTCTCTCTCTGCTGCCGACCAACCAACCCTTTACCCTGCACTTATGGTGGCACCCACAAACCCGTTCATTAAAAAATAAATAAATAAATAAAACAAAATTTGTGTTGAAGGTCATGCCAATTCTATTCCTACCACCTGCAATAATATATTTTATTTATAAACTTATTTGTTTCTTAATTCATTAATTCACCTACCCAGAGTTCTTTCTAGAAAACTCTCATTTTGGAGTCTAGACTATGTTCCTTGTCAATTACAACAATGACCTTGACAGGAAATCGATTGTTCGAACTCCAAAAATATCTTGAAAAATTCAGATGCTTCAAATTGGTGCAGGCTTATTCTTAGGGTATTTTTGTTACTTTCACCCATAACATCGTGAAGGATACGAAGGAGACGTTTCAGCTTTAGTCGGTGACTGTTGAAAGCAAAGCGAATCCTCACTAATTGATGGCTTAAGCTTTCTTTACCATTTGTTTTCTATCATCTTTATACGTAGAATGACCAAGCTACCCTTTTGGGTTTTTGTGGCATGTGGGAACTTTATCCCTAGTTCTTATATTTTTTTTTAACTTGTAACAGATCATTTTTTTTTCAACATGTAAAATAAATAATAAATAATTTTTTATTTTACAAATAATTTGTATTTTTTCTTTTATTTCTGGTCATTTAAGACTCATTTTAAAAGATTCGCATGCATATTACCAATCCAATCCCTTTTTAGATCAAAATTGAGCTACTTTGCTAGTTAACAAAAACGAGTGGCTCGTTTAGCTTTTTACCAAGTACTTTTTCTTTTTTCTTTTAGTATTTAGACTATTTTCCACACCCTTTGAAAATATAAACTTGTACTGAATTACTTATTTGCAACGGTGTAGCTATTGATCTTGATTGCAAATGAGAAAGCTATTTCAGTTGATTTTTCATCATCCTGTCACCAATTTGAACTACCATTAGTTTTCATTCATTTCCAGTTTACTTCTTCCTGATCTTACCATTCATCACCCCAAAATTCTCATTTGGCCTTCCCAAGCACTGCTACCATTTATTAAATTAAATTCAAAGTCTTATATGGAAACAAGATTAATTTAGTTTAAGCTGTGCAGTCTTAAATATTTATTTAGTAGTTATATGTTCTATAACTATGGAGACTAACGATGCCTAAAGTGATCTAAGAGATCTAATAAATAATATAGTTGAGATAATTTTTCATTGAGTTGGGCAAGAATAAACGAACTTGAATGCCAAAACATCATTAAATCTTACTGAAATTTTAGTTCCAAAAATGTTTTCTAACATAGTAAAGCTTTCATTTCACTAACCTGACTAAAACCAAATTCTATAAAATTTATATTGAAGCTCTAAGCCATGATACAGAGTACAGACTTCATGTCCAAACACAGAAAGTCTTATTAAATTAAATGAAGAGTAGATTTAATCAGAGACACAGACTAACCAACAATAATGCAATAATCCATCCCATGTATATTCTTTGCCCCATAGCATTATTTTGCTGCATTTTTTCTCTTGTGGCAGCAAAACATGGTACTGGAAATTCATAATTAATTTGCTGAAGCCTGAAGCAGCATCTTTAGGACATTTTGGAAATAAATCTATGTAGGTGTATTGACCCAAATGCCCTCGGAGATACTCCCTTGTCCGAGAAGGATGCCTCAGCACCATGTTTTGCTGCTGAAGCTTAACCAGCACATCCACAGTCAAAAAGTTTCTTATTTATGTGCATTAAAAATGAGATCATTTTATAAGTAGTGTTCCCTCTTTCTGAACTAAACGAATATTGCTCTAACTTTTAATGAATAAGTTATTAATTAGGTAGGCTGTAAGCTCCTTAATGGCATGTTGGGTTGATGATGACGATGCCTGCCCCCCTTTACATTTTGATTATATGATTTTGTCCATTAAAATACCAAATAATAAGCCATTCAATCCAGCCACTTTAGTCATTATCAAATGGTCCCTTCCCTTCACGGTGAATAAGAAACAGTCTCTGCCGTCAAAGTTGGGAGTCCAATCTAACATCGATGTCTGCTCTAATTTGACAGGAACTCAGTTTCTTTCACGGCTAAGCTTCCTTCTTAATCAGATGTGGACCACCCTTTTGACGTGGGATCATCTCATTGGCCAACATAAGGAAAAACTTACAGAGATTGACAATTTCGGAACATAAACGTGCAGAAGGAATTCAACCTAAGGGGCTTAAATTTAATAGGTTCGAGGAAGGGGTAACAATCGATTACCCCATATGACCAGGTTGAAAATGAATTGTGTTCTATTCAATATTAAGAAATGGAATAGGGTTGGGTTGGGGGATCAGGCCACCCCAATTAAGAGCTTCCTTGTCTAATTAACCACTAACCTTATTAGGTAAATATATACAAGTGGATACCATACATGATACATGGCCAGAAACTAACTAAATTTTGATGAATTTCATTTCAATTTTAATTGCTTGTTAGATGTAGTTGTAGATGGGAAAGGTGGTTGGGGCGTTGGCCACTTCATTGGCTAAAATAAAAATAATACTTAAGAAAAAGGGATGAGAGAGAAAGGGGGGGGGGGGGGGTAGGACAGTTGGAGTTTATGGTTTTATTGGTTGGTAGGGGCAGAGGAACCACCTCCGACCCACTTCTGCCTCCCGCTAACGCTTGTGGCCGGTGGGTAGGTCAACTTCCGTCCGGCGACAGCAAGAGACCCCAATATTAAACGGAAAATCTGTTGAAAAACAAGGGAAAGGCTGACGATACATATCATAGAATAAAGGCAATAGAGCAAGTGTTGATATGAAAAGACTGAAAAGCCCAACAGTCAGTGCCAATTGGATGGATCACCATGTTTTCCTGGTAGGAAATTGGACCACCATGTCATGTCATTGCCTTAACAAGCCAGTCTACTCTGGCCTGGGGAACTTGGAGTCCAAATTAAAGAAAAGGAAAATTGTCTAAAACTCACCATGAGTTTTCAACATTTCTCTTGAATTCACAACTTTTCAAAATGTTTAAAAAAACTCATCATATCAGTAAGTTTTTATTTTTCAAAACTCACCTTCCTTTAATGCTTCTTAACACAGGGTCCATGTAAGCATAAATAACAATTTTCATGACCAAATTACCCTTGAATTGTGAGTTAGAGGAAAATTGGTCTTTTTCAGTTTCAATTTTCTTGTTTTTTTTGCTTTTTTAGTGTTTTGTTATTGTTATAATTTCCAATGTTTTTTATATTTTTCTATTTTCTACATTCTATTTGTTATTTATTTTCAATTTCTGTGTTTTTCTAAAATTTTTTATGTTTTTTTCTACAATTTTTATTTTCTGATTTTGTTTTTCAATTTCTATAGTTTCTATAATTTGAAAATAATTTTTTTTTGTTTTCAATTTTTATAATTTTTTATATTTTTTTGTAATTTCTATGTTTTTATGTATTTTATATTTGAAAATATTTTTTGAACTTTTTCATTTTTCATGTCTAAATATTAAAATGGTAATATATTAACACCCGTTAATTTATTTTGTATATATTTTATTTTTTCTATGAAGGTTAAAATGGTAATATATTAACACCTGTTAGTCTCTTTAATGTCAATTTAGTGACATGGTGAGTTTTAGACATTTTGAAAAGTTGAGTTTAAGAGAAATGCTAAAAACTCATGGTGAATTTTAAACAATTTCTCAAAAAAAATGGACATTCCTATAATTAATGAAGGCTTAGTAAATGGTGAAGATGATCTCTTTATCTGATGAACGGTCTGGATTGACCATATGATGCCTCTATCCGACAGAACTAGGGTCACCGCCTAGCTGAAGAAACTTACATTCACCTGTTTTTTTTAACAGGTCTTTTTCCACGTGAGTCTGTTGTAACCAAGGAAGAGAATAAGAGAAAAGGGGAACTCTGACTCTTTTTAATGTTTGACGAATAAAAAGATTGTTGAAAGCCTCAAAGCCCATAGAGATAGTAGTTGAAGAGCGGTGGTTTATTGGGAGTAGTCGCTTTCCACAAGCACAAGAAAGGGAGCCAAGCGCTCTAATATTCTTATTACACGAAGAAATGAATTGACACCTTTATATCACATTGTACTCTGACATTTGACCCTCAAAGCAGAAAGCAGCAATCTCCCCTCCTATGATATCAAACCCAATTTAGGAGTGAGGAGTGCCAATCCCTGATTTGAACAGGGCCCATCTGTGTGCTGTGGAGTGTGGACCAACACATTTCCCAGGTCCCCAACAGGATCAGAACAAGGCTCAGATTCAAGTTTACTGTGACCTCACTTCGCACTTGCAAACAATAGTCCCAATCAAGCCTGGCATTTTACTAAAGAACCTAGATGAACTGCTTGGGTTTTGTAACTTTATGCTGATATATCCATTCCTTTTGAATTGATCATTGTCATGTTGAAGTTCAGCAGTTTCTTCATCCTGACTCAGTCTTATAGGTACCTCTATGGCTCTATCCATATATCCACATTCATGGCCCAAATAATGTCATCTACTGATAGATGACAACCATTTCGTACCTTATTTTCATCATTGTCTGGGTCCACTCCTGCAATACAATTAACATGAAAAAAATCTCACACAACCTGAGTGAACCCATCTCTTCATTCCCAACAATTATACAATGATGATAATCTCCAATTAATCCCAATCAATGATCAAGAAAAGAGGCCTCAATGATCAGATGGTTTGGATAAGTACAGGCATCAGTAACGACTTGCTAACTTTGTAAAAATTAAAAAAGGAGACCATGGTCGCCTGGTCGGTTTGACCAGTTGAATTGGACAGAAATTGCAACTTATCTTTGTCAAAGAATCCTGTTCATATAAGACGAGCATACATAATCCAGATAACTCTAGAGTTTATATCATTTTCTACTGACATTACTAATCAATGATTTTAGATCAAGATAATCGACGGTTCATCTAGAGTAGGATGACCACCTACTACTCAATTAATATTTAATAAGAACAGGTATTTACACAAAGCTAATAAATAGTCTGGGCTAATAATAAATACTTCATTCACGCAACTTAACTAAAACTAGAATCTCATTTTTCCACCCAAACTACCAATAATTTTATCTCTACCCAATTATTAAGGAAAGCAATATTCAATGATCATGATGATAACAGTAACTTTTAGTTACAGCAAACTATGACTCTCCACTCTGTTGTGACCAAGATACAAAGCTTCTCTTTAGTCTTCTAGTTGCTGATGAAATTAACTTAAGATTTTTCACTCAGATTTCATATACAAATCTCTACTCTTTCTTACAATGTCATCACAAGTCCTAAATTTCTAAAAATAACCATCTTTTTGTGCCTTTGAAAAACTTCGCCGCTGCATGATTTTTTCAATCATCATTACCTTCCCTGTTCAACCTTGGACAATGAGAGTTCTGTACTTCCAATCTTCAGCATGCATTTAACTGTTTCTTTTCTTGTTCTAATTTGTATCAATGAACCTTAAACATGCATCGCCTGGACATGCTGATATGCTCATTGAATCATACCATGATGAGGAATACTGTGGTGGAAGGCCAGGATGCAAATTTTTCTCCAAATGTTTGCATTACACTCGCAATGTATCCAAATCTCATTAATGGTATAATCATCATCTTAAGTCATTTCTAAGATATTCTTATGGAAGTGATATGAAAAGTGCGGGAATGTGTGCATGTCAGTGTGTGTGTGTGTGTGTGAAAAGGGAGGTCATTGGACTGAGCAATTATTGACTTGGAAGATCTCATTGGTGGCATAGTTGTCAAGGTGCCCTTGGAGGCTTGCTTCGCCTAATCGCCAAGCAGTTTTGTATATTGTGTTATAAAATACTTTTAAATTCTTATCTTTTTGAAATTATAATTGTAAAATAAACATTATTAAACTAAAATGTTCATTGTGTGTTTATATACTAATTTCTTTTTATTATTTTCTTATTTGTTAGGGTTTAATCAACACAGACATTGCTAACTGCTGTATTGAACCCTCAAAGACTTGAAAACCTGAACCCATAAGGAAGAACTTAAAATTTTGTCTAAATCAATACATTTTCTTCTTCTTCTTCTTCTTCTTCTTCTTCTTCTTCTTCTTCTTCCCATGAATATGTTGATTTTCTATACTTTAACATGAAGTTTATACTTTTCTTAAGGAAATAGGGTTATGGAAGCTAGGGAACTGCCCTAAGATATATGTTTTTACTTAAAAAAAGAAAAAAAAATCCACTGCCTAAGTGACACCTAGGCACCCACCTAGGTGACTAGGTGACAACGTGCTCCCCTGTCACCTAGCCTCACCTTAGCACCTTGAAAACTATGATTGGTGGGCCTCAACTACCCTGAATGCATACAGTATATGATGCAGAGGCAACAGCAGATTCTTTATATCCTCAATAAAAAAGAGCCCTCTTCCTACCAGATTCATCAACATTCTTCTGACTTAATTTCAAACAGAGAGGTCACCCCAAGAATTCCAAAACCAGGAATATTAAATCACTGCATTTTATGTTATGATGTAATATTATACTAATAAATTAGTAGTTGACATGTAGAAACCTCCCAATAATCCAAATAAACAAATATCAGGTACCAAGGTAAATGGTGAACCAGGTCATTTTCTTATGTCAAGTAGAAATACACAATATTTGATTTTTCTCCACCTTCCTATGAAGAAGGCTATTACCCAATGTTGGACCCAGCTAGATGGGACCTTGAAAAGGATAAACTGGATATGACTATAACCTTAGGCTCTTTTTTCATTTTTATTTTGCCAGCATGAGATTTTACCATTATATCAAGCAATTAACCCTCATACCAGACCTCCATTATCTTATTGTCAAATAATCCTACTAGATCCCTGGGCATTGACACCCATGTAATTGGAACCCCTAACCTTAACAATTCCTGTTTTCCCTTTCGAAGGTTATTTGATGAAGAGACAAACAAACAAACAAACAAACACACACACACACACACATACACAAAATAAAACTTCGGGCTAGGCCTGTACAGACCTTGTTCCACAACATGAACTATTGTAGGGTCCCATGATTTTTTTAATCAACAACAAAACATATAATTGACCATTATTCAAAGGTCCACAACAATAAAATGATTAACAAGATCAACATTGCATGAGCCATACTTAATTTTCTTGTTTCTTATTTGATTAATAGTATTTTTTTTTTCTATTTGGAATCAGCATCATCATCTAAGGTGGTGTTTGATAACACTTTTCAGACCTCTAAAGTCTGAAAATGTTACTTTTCAGATGCCACCTATGCCAGTTTGGGTTTGAGTCTGAAAAGAGATCTGAAATGCATTTTCAGATCTGAAACCATAAGACCCAGGCCAGGCACTGAACGCAGTCAGATGCATTTCAGACCTGGCCCAAAGTCCAAAATGCCCATGAATAATTTCAAAAAGACAATGTATGCCCCTGTTTTAAACCCAAAATTATCTCATTTGAGTTCTTTCTCTTGAACGACAAAGGAACTTGCCGCACTTCCCAACCGCTGCACCAGGTAGGTATATTCAGGGTCTCAAATCCTCCCTTTTATCTTGTTTTTCTTGTTCATTGTCACAAATCTGAGCTTTCACTCTTCCTAGATTGATTTTATAGGGTTTTGATTTGCTTCTTCCTTATATTTTCTTCCATTTTCTAGGGTTTCAACTTGTATTCCGACCGACAAACACCTAACCACCGGTGGAGCAGCGGCAAAGGTGAATGTACACAACCCCTTTTCTAGGGTTCTTCACCGCTTTTATTTCTCTTTTTTTTTTTGTTTATATTCACCGTTGTTCATCTTCATGTTCATTTGGTTACGGTTACTCACAACCCCTGTCCTGAAAACCCAACATATATTCAAGTGATCTATGAAAGCAATGATTTTCACAGACATTGGTTTCATTTGTTGCAAGATTATGGCATAGCTGCAAATAATATGAAGAAAATTGTAATATCTCGAATCCATGTCGTAAAATCAATATATCTGAGAAGAAAGAGAGTTGTGGATGGAACCCGAATTGACAGAATCAATGGGTTGCAGTCGAACCAGCTAATAACCCTGTTAAAATTCCCCAAAAGGGGCAGAGGGGAAGTGTATCTTTGCACCTATCCTTTTACTCTCTTTTTATTCCTCTAAGACTCCTACTTTTTCATCCTAGAACTAGAAGAAGCTCAAGTTCTTTCAATTGAATATGTTTCAGTTATATTTCTGCAAATTTTACAGTAAAAACTTTGTTTCCTGGCCCATTTACATGGAAACAAATGCAGTCTTAGCAGATCAAACAAATAAATGTGGAGCAATGTACTGATCTCCACAACTGGAAAATTCGTCTCAGATGAGTTTTGTTTATTTTTTTTACACCTCTGTAAGAGCTTTGCCATAATTGTTGTTGTAGGGTCCCTTGACCAGTAGAATCAGTTTTTGTGTGGATAAAACTGCGTAGCAGTTGTTTTGTCAATTAGAATGCCTTCCCTTCGGTTAGAGATATCTCGTCATATGATTTTGTTGTAATCTTTAAAGTTTGATTATGCAAAATATATAGTAACAAAAAATAAAACAAAATTAAGTCAAATAAATATGGTATAACTAAAGATGGCAAAACATAGGATGAAGTTGTCTATAACATTGTACACAGCCATATGAGCATAATAAATTAGATGCAATCCTAATGCTCTCTCTCTCTCTCTCTTATTGAAGCTTATGCAATAGCTGAAGGAAGACCCTTCGGTGTTGGCTGGTTTTTGTAAGTCCATTGGAATAGTTGGAGCAGGGTTGGGAAAATTATGGCACTTTGTAATAGTATTTATGTAATTTTCATTTAAACTTCAATGTTGTCAAGTCTGATGTAGTAATTATTCTTAAGTTTGTGAAACAAATATATTAATATTAAGCTGAGATGGTGTGGTAACATTTCTTGTGCTTCTCTTGATTGGTTTTCTAATACCACTATAAAATAGGAATAGCCAAGCAAATTTTGAAAAAAGAAAACAGCAGAATTATGTGAAGACCTGGCTTTCTCTCCAATACTTCTCAAACTCATAACTAGTGAAACAGAAGGTGGATTAAACAAGCAGGCTTCTACATATATTCCTTTAGCTAGTGCTTTGCCCACTTGGAAAGCAAAACACCTCCTAAAGAATGACCAGCAATACATTCATGGAGACGTATATGTGCAGGGACCATATCCATCTCCATGGGAAAGGCAATAATGCACATTCCAGCTGTTTTTTTTTTTTTTGTTTTTTTGATGAATATGCACATTCCAGCTGCTAGAGTGCATAAAAAGGACTTAGGTGAAAATAGTCCATTGCAATATCTCACTCATGTAGAGTCCAAATGTGTTGTTTCTATGCTTATTTGCATGGCCTATCTTCGTAACATTGACAAGTAATAAATAGGGAAGTTTGAATATATTAGTATTTTGAATATAATTATAAATTTTAATTTTTTTATAATTTTTATTCATAATAATTATTTACCTTACCCCAAACCCCCGTTGATGCAAAACTTCTTTCAAAAAATTGGATGCTTGGGTGTGTACAATCTTGTCATTTTTCTATCCTTGTTAATGGAGTGGTAAAAGATTTCTTCCCAGCTTGCAGACGATTAAGGCAAAGTGATCCCCTCTCACCCTTCCTTTTTACTTTAGTGGCAGATGTCTTTAGTAGACTCCTCTCTAAGGTAGACAGAGAAAATGGCTTTACGGGTTGGAGAGTGGGTAGAGACCATGGTTTAAAATGTCCCTAATTTCCCTAATATTTCCATGACATTTCAATTTCCATGAGTAGCAACACGAAATTTTACTGGAATCGACATTTCCCCAATGAACACTACCAGACCTACGTGAGTACAAGAGATAGTATCCACGACATATTTCCATTTTCACTTTCATGAGTAGCAACATGTAATTTTACTAGAATTGACATATTCCTTTTGAACACTACCAGTACTATGTGGAGTACAAGAGATGGTATTATAACATAAGTTGGTGACAATATTGTAAATATGTGAAGTACCAAGTTATTGTCCACCTAACTTGCATGATTACAACTTTGAGCTAGCTCAATATTCATTTCAAACATGAAGTTAAATAATAGTTTTTGTTTCTGTAGTAGATTATTTGGTTGATCTGTTACAACGATTTACATTTTCTATGAGTTTAAATTTTGCTTTAACTAATTCTATATATCATGAAGTTCTAAAGCTTAAGGTTTACAAGGCAACTTCAGAACTTATTCTTTTGTCTATAACCCTAGTTTCTTAGTTTTGTTTAATAACTTGGAACAAGATAATAATTTAAAAAGGTGTGCTTATGCTTCTTTTGTCATTTCATAAAATATCATTCTATATTTTGCATATTTTACAACGTTTCCACCATGTCTATAATTTTTACAATATTTCCATACGATATTTCCGACATTTCCACCAACATCGACATTTTAAACCTTGGTAGAGACAACGTTCCAATTACACATCTCCAATTTGCAGATGATATCATTATTTTTTGTGAAGGGGGAGACATCAAGAAAGTCGGGAGATTGAAAAATCTAATCAAGAAGTTTGAAAAAGTGTCAAATATGAAAATCAATTTGGACAAGAGTTGTATAGCAGGGATTAATATGGAGGGGATGGTCCTACATATGATAGCAGAATGCTTAGAATGTCATATCACCCCTTGGCCTTTGACCTACCTAGGGCTTCCTCTAGGTGAAAACCCGAAGGAAAGCAGTTTTTGGAACCCAGTTATAGAAAGATGTAAAAAGGGATTGGCTGCTTGGAAGAGAAGTTATATCTCTTTGCAAGGTAGGATCACTCTGATAAAATCAACTTTGGCTAACCTACCCATCTATTTCCTCTCTATTTTTAGGATTCCACCAAGAGAAGAAAAGAAATTAGAAAAAATTATGAAGGATTTCCTTTGGGAGCTAGGAGAAGCTAGAAATGACCACTTAATAAATTGGGAGATTGTGTGTAAAAGAAAGGAAGAAGGTGGTTTAGGTCTAGGGAATGTAAGGAAGAAGAAATCAGCTCTATTAGGGAAATGGTTATGGAGATGGTCTCTTGAGAGAGAAAATTTGTGGGTTAAGGTAGTGGCAAGCATACATGGTAGATTGGAGAATGGCTGGGACGCTGATGTATCGCATAGAGCTACCTTGGCAGCACCTTAGAAAGCAATTCATAGCCTCCTCCCTCTGTTTCTCAGGTACATCAAGTATAATCTTGGCTCAGGGAATTTAATTTGGTTCTGGGAAGACACTTGGTTTGGTGACCGGCCTTTAAAGGAGGTGTTTCCTTCTTTGTATTCTATTTCTTTGTATAAAAATAAGGTCATTTCAAATTTTTTGGTTCTTCCTTCTTTGCCATTGAGTCTTAATTGGGATCTCGAATTTCAAAAGGGTTTGAAGGATGAGGAAGCAGCTTGTCTGTCAAAGCTTCTCCTTCTTCTCGAATTTCAAAAGTGTGGTTTCAACTGATTCCCCCTAAAACTCAAGCCTTCTGTTGGAAAGTAGCTCTTGGGAAAATTAACACTACGGATTATTTGCAAAAGAAGAGGCATTTTCTGTGTATTTCTCTTAATTGGTGCACTCTATGCAAATCTAATGGTGAATCTTGTTACCATTTACTAATTTCCTATTCATTTGCTATAGATATATGGGATTGGTTTTTCTCTTTGTTTGGGTGTAGGTGGAATATGCCAACAGAGATAAAAATGTTGTTTGACCCATCTACCTTTGCTTTACTGAAGAAGAGGGGAAGAGTAATGTGGAGGTACACTAGAGCAGCAGTAGTGTGGACCTTGTGGGAAGAGAGAAATGCCAGAATCTTCCAAGAGAAAGAAAGGAGAAAACGACAAATTATGGTGTGTAATGACTAGAGTTATACACTGGCTACAAACGTTGGAACTATTCAAAAATTTCACATTTGATGATATTTGGAGGAATTGGCCTTTAGTGGCTTCTAGCTTAGTGCAGAAGGTTAAGGCAAGGTTGGATTGGACACCTCCCATTGAAGGATTTCTGAAACTAAACTTCGATGGGAGTAGTCAAGGCAACACAGACCCAGCTGGAATAGGAGGGGTCATCAAAGACAAGGAAGGAAATTTAAAATCACTCTTCTCAGGGCCAGTGGGGAATGGAGACTCCTTAAAGGCAGAATTGTATGCAGCCCTACAAGGAGTACAGATTGCAAGAGAGTTAGGATTGGAAAATTTGGTGATAGAAAGGGACTCCAAGGTGGTGGTGGGTTGGCTGAAAAACCCAGATTCAATGATTTGGGCTTACAGAAATGAAATGAAGAAATTCAAATGGATAACTCAGCAGATGGATGTGTTTTTAATTATTAATTTTGTTATAATTTTTAACATTTTAATGATTTTAATATAATTTATTGGTTAATGATTTTTTGAATGATAATGTATGAAATAGTGCCAACTGAATTCAAAATTACCAAATAGTCTATTCTAGGGGCAAAATAGTAAAACCAAGCAATTTCAGATGTTGGAAAATTAATCCAAAACAAAGTATCTATTCAGAGTCTCTAAAAAGTAGAAAAGCATCTATGCCTCTTTTCAGATTTCAGACACAAATAATATCTTTTGAACTTTTCAGATTTCAGATTTATCAAACGCCACCTAAGACTCAATGCACAAGAGTTAGTTTAGCTGACATAAGGAGAAATATTGTTGCTACTGTTCACTCTCTACATATATAAGCTCAGACTTCCTTAAGACCATGTTTGGTTTGATAGAAAAGAAGAGAGAAACAGAAAGTTGAGGGAAAGTTCTTAACAAAATTTGTGAAGTTCCTTAAGAACATTCCCCTTAACTTTCTGTTATCTCTCTTTGAAACTTATTCAAGAGGTCAAGTTGAATTCCATGGAAGCTCTCTTGGTTCTAACTCCTAAGCCAGAAGGAACTGGAGGCTTGTTCTTGAATAGGTATTCTATGGTCATTAGGCTTGGCTGATTGTATATCTACTTCTTCTTGTCCTTGTTAAAGAGCCTAATCATAGATAAAGAAACAAGTGTTTGCCCTTTAATGCAGAAGGCTACTCAAGGAATCCAATCCCATGGGCAAAGAGAAGCTTGTCCATCATCTAAGGGAGATAAAATGCTTGGTGATGAGATGCTTAGCTTCTAGCAGTGGATTTGATGGGAATATAATGATGTGTACAATGATTACACAAAAAGAAGGGTGGGTCATGTAATTGTATGGGACATTTGTGAAGAGAGGAACAAGAGAAGTTTCGGAAAATAAAAAGGCATCATACAAGGCTCTTAGGGTTTGGGTTCTAGTCTTCTTTAGCTCTTGGGCTATTGTCACACTAGAACTGGAAGGGGTATCCTATCCAATGCTGATATTGCCCAAAATCCTTCGGTCCTACCAGGAGGAACTGCTCCTTTGCCTCTGTAAAGCTGCTCCTGGGCTGGTCATGCAATGGCTCTTTCTTTCCATATCTTGTAAGAATATATCCATTGTTAATGCGATGCTGTTACTAATAAGAATAAACTAAGGCTACATTTTAGGAATATCTAAGAAAAATTAGATCAATGCATATTGAAAGGAAGACAAGTCCTTTTTACATGCACATAGAGACTCATAAAAACATCTAATGTAAATAAAGGTAGAAAATATACACTCCCAAAATTAACAGCACTAAGTTAACCCATATCAATCCTACTAACCATTCCCTGTCCAGATAAGTTCATCAAAAGCATGCCTACCAAACCAAGTACACGTTTAAAAAGATTTTGAAAACCGTGGATACCTTCCCATCAAAAGCAGAAATAGCTGCTTGTGCTTCCTCACTTGTCACAAACGAAACAAATCCATTCCCAGCAGATCTACCTGAAGAGCTGCCGAAGACCACCCTAGCTGAAACTGGACTTGCACTAGTAGAAAAGAACTCTCTGAGATGACTAGATCTGGCTTTCCATGCAAGATTAAATACATAAAGTTTTTGCTGTGTCTCTCCACCTCAGGCACCTTCTGGACGAGGAAGAGATGTTTTCTTCAATCTCTTTGCAAATTCCGCCATAATAATCCTTCCTGACAACTCCTACACCATGAACATCCTACTTCAAAAGAAACCCTATGTAATATGCGGAGAGTAAAATAGTTTTTGTATTAACACAATATCCATCTGAACTCCAATTCAAAAACTACAATACCCATAACATCAGCCAAAGCCTTGCAGAAAAGGATATAAGATTAACAAGTTTATGATCATGCACCAGCACAACTAAATGCGGGTTCAACAAAAACCTACTTTATGGAACCTCAAAAATGGAGATAAAAAAAAAAAGGAATGTAAACAAAAATATGATAACCTCTACAGAAGAATCCTAAATGAAAAAAAAAAAAAAAAAATCTCGTCCCAGGCAAAATTTCCAGGAACAGAAAAGAAAAGAGTGATTAGAATTACTTCAAATTTCACACATTTTCCCTACATTCCCTAAATTCACAATCAGAGAAAGAACATGTTCATTAAAATGTAAAGAAGTAATAATACCCAGAAAAAGGAAGTACATAGCTCCATAAAAAACAAAAAACAAAAAACAAAAAAAAAAGCCATTCCTAAGAATAGCTCTGAAAGTAAAATCTCATTCCTAACAACCCTCCATCATAATTGGTGTACGTACTACCAAACCCTATAGAAACCCACTTCAACGAACACATGAAAAGCAAGGAAAACAACGACTGAATGTTACTTACGCATGAATCAAACTTCTAACAACTGTACGAGCATCTTCCTGGGAGGACATTGTGATGAAGGCGAATCCCCAGCTTCTTCCATCTTTTTGCTTAATAATCTAAAATGCAACAAGAAACTAAGAAAGAAAAACCATCTCGACCGGATAATTGAACCCAACAAGTCCAAATGAGTAGCAAAAATAGCTAGAGAACAACCACAACATTTTTGAGGCAACAGAGAAACGCCATGGAAGGTTTACAACGTATAGTATAGCTTTTTCCGTTCTTCTTGGCCTCCCTCTGGCTTTTCCTCTGCTTGAATTTCCTGCACCGAAGAGTATATACACTTTGGCTATATTTGGTTGAAGGAAAATATAGGAAAAGACAGAAACTATAATTTATAAGGGTTTTCCCATTTTCCTTCAAACCAAATACAGCCTTTGAAACCGAATATTCTCGTTGAAACAGCAAAAAGGTTCGAAAGGAGTGGCGATTTGGCGTAAGGGACAAATGGGTATTGGGAAAAAGAATAGGGTATTTATGGAAAGACAAAATTGCATATTAGTCATCCTGGCATGCACTAAAGCCTTGTACCAGCGAGGAGATTGAATTTTTGATTTGACATCAATAGAAACACCCAGTTTTGCCCAGTTACAATTGCCAAGATCATCCAGCACCATGCTCATTTTCTCTATAGGTAAAAAAATGTGAACCACTAGAAAATATATTTAAAACCCATTAGCTTAGGTCAAACCAGTGGTTTAACTGGGAACCATCCAATCAGTTTAACTAGTTCCAATATTATTTTCATAGTTTTAGCATATGATTATCAACCTATTTATGGTGTTTTGATGATATTTAAAACTGCCTATATAAAGGGCTATCAATTTTTTCCAAGCAATAAGATTTAAATCCATGTTCTATTTTTATGTCACAAATTTAACTGGAAACAACGTAGATGACCTGGTCATGCAAATATTTTAAGGAACTTGGTGCATTAAATAGAAACTATTAATTAATGAATTTTGTTATCTACCTTCCTCCACATTTTTTCATTGTATATTACATATTTAATTGGGTCAATAAAGTAATCATTGTTCTTTTTTTTTTTCTTTGTAGGTTAAACATGAAACAAGCAACTCTTAAAGCATGGCTAGAGACAATGGAAAATTTTTTTTATATTTTGAATTTCTTTTTTTTTTGAAGGTCATATATATATATATATGAAAACAAAGCGGTCAATAATTTTTTTCTTTTTTTTATTTTTATTGTTTTTTTATTTCATGTCATTTTTGAAATAACCAATGAGATGCATTTTCCCAATAACCTAATAATCTCTTCTCCTAAAATTCTCCTAAACTACCTCCCCCACTTTCATCTAAATTATCTCTAATTCCTATTTATCTCCAAAACTATTTCTAATTTAGTAGAGAGTTTCTCTCCAAAATTATCTCTAATTCCTATTTTTCCTCTCCCCCACTTTTTATTTATTTCTTTCTAAAGAAAGTTTGGATTAAAAAATTTAAGAATTTTTTAAATATTCTAACAAATTATATAATAACTTTAAAATATTTATTAAAATTACAAAAATTAATTTTATATTTTTACAAAATACATCATGAAATTATGTACTAATAATTTAAATTCTGTTTTCTGGATTATTAATTTAAATGTTATTCAAATAATAAAAATTATTCAATAAATAAATATCTTAAATAACAAAATGATGGAGGTAGATTTGGCCCAACCCCTTGGCTGTGCGACACGTGGAAGCAATCGGGTATGACTTGGCAGGAGCGTCAGCTCGGCACAGCGACAGCCATCCCAAAAAGAAGCCCGAGCTCCCCAAGGAGAGGCCCCGAGCTCCCCGAAAGGAACCCGCACTTCCCAGGAGGTGGAACCCGAGCTCTCCCTAGAAGTCCCGAGTCTTGCAAGGAACCCTGTAAAGGATGAAGCCCAGACTAACCCACCTCGGGTCAGACCGGGCCACACCCCGGCACCTCGGCTCCAGGTCGTGTGACTGAATAACCGCACCTGACAAGGAAGCTCGTACTTTGAGGCGGCGCGCCTGACTGATCAGGGATTTGACAAAATGACAACTGTACTCCAACAGCCACCCGCTACCGCCATCTCAGTTGTTGCAGAGACGGCCCTGATAGAAAAGATAGTGGCGGTTATGCCTGCCCCCCACAGAGGCAGTTATACCTGATCTGGCAGAGGCTTGGGAGTGAGTGCACCAAGGTAGTTATAAAAGGCCCTCTTCCCCTTGAGTAAAAAAAAAAGGTGATATTTTGTGCCTTCTGGTCTTGGAATCTCTTATTTTCCTTGCCTTCTCAAGAGTACTAACTTGAGCATCGGAGCATTCCCCCCGGGTTTCTCCCCCGGAATCTCTTGTTTCCTCCCTGTTTCAGGCATCTCCTGCTCCCTTAGACAACTAGGACTGACCAGATTGTGCATCATCATTTGGCGCCGTCTGTGGGAACACTTCAAAAAGCCTCCCCCAACCTCTAACTCTTTTCTAAAGAAAGAACTTAGCATTCATGGCTTCTTTTGGCAATGATAGACATAATGCCGACCTGAATGCCGTCGGGGAACACCCTTAGCCCCCCACTGTCTGCATCGGGCAGTTCACCGTCCCCCTCTCGGTGGACGGAATCCCTAGCCTGAATGTGCCACGAACAGTGGTGCCTGTGAATGTTCCCCTTCCCCCCTCTATTGAGACAACCTTCGCCGAACCGACCGTTGTCCCCCTGGTGACCAGCCAGAACCAACTTGATTACTTGATGCAATGCATGCGGGCCATGCAAGCCCAAATGCAACAGTTTCAGCAACACCAACTCCACCAGCAGCAGGTACTGCATCATATCTCTCAGTACCACTACCAACAGCAGTTCCCCCACTACCTCAGAGCCAGCCACAACTCCCACCTCGGCACCCTGCTGTCAAGCAAGTCAAGCCCTCTCCTCAGGGCGGGTGCCTTCACCGGGGAGAAGCTTTCCAGGCTCAGAACCCCTCCAAAAGCCAAGCCTCATCCCCTGGCAGAAGGGAAAGACCAACTACCCCCGCTTCGCAGCATGCCGGCGGATCCAGAACCTCCCGACCTATCAAGCCAGCGTCAGCTCGGCGTTCTCAGTTTGGGCTCCCACTTGTGGAAAACCAGTTCAGCGTCTTAGCCGCGAACTACCACCAGCAGTCCGGGCCCATTGAGCTCGGCAACACCGAAGCGATCAACGCCAATACTGGACCCTCCAAGCAGCAGCGGAGGTGCCGACGAAGTCGCCGAACTACCACTCGCGTCCTACCCAAGCTCAGAGGTAAAGAGGAAGCAAGCTCGGACGAGGTAAAGGTTGCTCCTATTCTTTCAGTCCCTTCCCCCCTGTCATCAGAACTCCTCACTGTCCCCATGCCCAAGGATTTCAAACTCCCCCCGCTAGACAAATATGATTGTTCCTTTAACCCGAGTGATCATGTTGATGCTTTCCAGTCCCAGATGCACATGGCGAGGGCCAGCGAATCCTGCATGTGTGTGGCCTTCACTACCACCTTCAGGGGAGTGGCCCGCACCTGGTATAGGAACTTGGCCCCCGGGTCGATAAGAAGCTGGACCCAGTTTGTGCAAGTCTTCACCGCGCACTTTGTCACCAGCAAGCGGTGCCCCCGAACTGAGGAGAGCCTCCTCGGTATAGTCCAGAAGGAAGGGAAGTCCATCCGAGGCTATATCAAGCGCTTCAACGATGCATGCTTACAGATATCGCGCCTAGACCCCGTAGTACAGCTCGTAGTAGCCAAGAGGGGTGTGACACACAAGGAATTCAAATAGCACATGGTGGTCAACCAGCCTGCGACCATAGCTGAATTCCTTAAGCTCGCGGACAGGTTCATAAGAACAGAGGAAGAGATCAACCAAAGAGCTGAGGGTGGGTTTGAAAAAAGGAAGAGAAAAAGCGAGACTCCCCACCAAGATGACAGGAGGAAGAAAGATCCACCTTGGGGGGTGAAGCCAAGTCAGCCGTTCCGAGCTCCTGCGGCAGATCGGGCGGATTACACACCCTTGAACGCGAAGCGGGTTGAGATCCTGATGACGATCAAGGATGCCCCGTACGTAAAGTGGCCACCCCGTCTGAAAGGAAACCCGAATGAGAGGAATAGAAACTTGTATTGCAGCTTTCATAGAGACCATGGTCATAATACCGAACACTGTAAGAATCTCCGTGACGAAATAGAGGAACTCATTCATCGCGGATACCTAAGAAACTTTGTACAGAATAATGATAATAATAATAATAATAATAAGGCAGGTCAGCAGGGGGAGCGCAGTAGGGATGCCCCCGAGTCCAGCAACCGGTCAACAGAGCAGTCACAGAAACAGCTCCCGGAGGAAAGGCCAGTTCGGGGAACGATCCATGTGATCATTGGAGGATCGATTGTAGTGGGTTGCACCTCAGGCATCAACCCGTGAGGCCGCCAGAGAAGAACAGAATCCCCCAAAGCGGCCGAGGACAAAAGATCCCATATTCTTCATTGAGGACGACGCATGCGGAGTTCACTACCCCCACGATGACGTGCTCGTCATAAAGGTAAAAATCAATGATTTTGAAGTCCCATGCGTACTTGTCGACTCCGGCAATTTGGCAAACATCCTTTTCAAAACGGCTTTCGACAAACTCTAGTTCCAAGAGAGTGACTTAAAGCCCGCGAACACCCCACTGGTCGGCTTCAGCAGAGAAGAAGTCAGGCCCCTAGGAAAGGTTACAGTACCTGTGGAAGTCGGCACGTGGCCTAGCACGATAAGACTCAAGCACGACTTCTTGGTGGTTGCGACCCCCTTCCCTTACAATGCCATAGTAGGTCGACCAATCACCCACGCTTTAAGGGCTGTGGTGTCCACTTACTATTTAGCCATGAAGTTCCCCATGGACTTCGGCATTGGGGTAGTACGGGGCGACCAACTTGAGTCCCGCAAGTGCTACGTCGCCGCCCTCAAGGGAAAGGCTAAGGTGGCCAACGACCTCGAGTTGGAGCGGCCCATGGAACAAAACGAGGAGCGAGCTACGCCCACGGAGGAGACCGTTCCCATCCCTGTCTCGGCAGAGGACCCGACCCGGACACTTCAGGTCGGTGCTTCCTGGAGGAGCCATTGCGATCCGAACTAGTACGCTTCTTACTCAGTAACTTAGATATTTTCGCTTGGTCTGCGGCAGAAATGCCCAGCATAGACCCTAACCTCATAACTCACAAACTCAATACTGACCCTATAGTTAGAACCATTAGACAGAAGAAACGCAACCTAGCCCCAGAACGATGGAGGGCGATCGACGAGGAGGTCAGAAAGCTCCTCACAGCAGACTTCA